AGAAATTTACATAATTGTTTCACTGCATTCCTCAAAATTTTAAAATAGTTCAAAAGAAAAGAACTAAGGCCTCGTTTGGGAACATGCTATTTTAATAACGTTTTGGCTTTTTAGTTAAAATATGAGGTAAAAAAAATTAGTATGTTTGGAATTATTTTTGGTTTTTTACAAAAAGATGTGCAAAAAGAAGAGAGATAAGGGAATCTTTGACTTTTTAGTATAGATTATAAACTTTTTAATTTTTTTAGTAACTTTTTGGCTTTTTGGCTAAAATTGTTGCATGCCAAACGAGGCCTAAGTAGACAACAGTTAAATCCACATGGCTTTCGCCTCACAAAAATATTTTTCACAAAACTGAGAAAACAATTATCATCATCACGCCCAACAAAACAAGCTTTCTCACTGTCATCATCACTTGAGAGGTACCTCATCCTCAGTTCCTGAAATTTGTTAGTTTTTGGGGTGAGCATAAACTCAATAGGTAATGCATTTAACAAATTATATAATCATTTGAAAGACTTATGCTCATGAAATGCAACTCTTACGGATGTAGGAAACAGATGTAAAACAATGTTTGGGTATGCAAATGAAGGGATGCAATGTTTGGAATCTACCTCATCTTTTCCACGTTCTCATCGAGCAGTAACTCGGTCATGAATCCCAAGTAAGAGTCAAAAATCAAAACATACATAGATAATTATAGTTATATATGTACATATTGAAAATAACCCCACATTTGCCGACTCCAAAAATGGCAGGCTCGTGGACACCCAAAAACATTTTTTCCACATTCGTCCAGCGATATGCACAGACAGGGCTATTGGGCACCTTGACTTCCCGTGAGGGTACCAATTACAAAACACAACTCAAATCCAACCTGACTCACTACCTGGACTCATAGGCTAATTACCATCATTAACCTTCCACCATTTATGCAAGGATAGACCCAAAAGAAATGACAATGCATATGATGTATAAATTTTCAATTAAAGTATGGTTTTCCTAAAATGATGCCATTCCCTAAAAGAATCCACCTCTTTACAATTCATAACTTAAGGATTTACCTCCAACAATCATCATCAACTGAAGGTGTGCACCAAGGAAAAACTTTTAAATCACATATTCCCATTTCAAAATCGAGTAATTACACTGAATTTCATGTATTGCAACTCAATCAAGAAAATCCCCTTTTTGTAAATTAAATTTTTTTTAAAAAAAATAGGGTTTCAAGAAAAATTAGGATTTTCCCTCCTTTATGAAATTGACAAAAATTTTCCATCATAACATTGATACATCCAACAAAAATAAAGTTTCTTCCATAATCATTGAGTATTCCCCCCTACCCCTTCTTCTCAACTTTGATCACAACAAAAACCATATACACACACACATATATATATACACCATGAGTACCACATAAGTTAACTCAAATTGAAGATATAAAGAGTTAAAGACACCCCTACCTTGAGTTGGTAAGCTAGAATTGCAATTCACACTCATACTCCGATGATCTAGCGAAACAATAGGTGAAAGTGTTGATCTAGCTTTCCTTTCAACTATTCTAGAGAGATCTTGGGTGGACCTTGAGTCAAGATTGGAGAAATCTAAGGTTTTGTGAGCCAGGGTTTGAGAAAATGTAGAGTTAGAGAGAGAGAAAGGATGGACAAGTAAAACGAAAATGACTTGTAATCAACTTTTAAAATTTGTTGTCCCCGACAGGTCGCTCAAGCGTAAGACACAACTAAGAGAGCTCACTCAAGTGGAAAAGAACATGTCCTAGAAGTTTTGCAGAGCCACAGTGAAATTATTGGGAGCATGCATTCTACGCTCGAGCGACAACTTCTTCGCTCGGGCGGCCTACCAACAAAGTTGCTAGTTATTGGGAGCTAGACATCTACACTCGAGCAAGAAAAGCTTCACTTGAGCGGAGCAAAAAAATCAGGTGCCACACAAAGCAATGGATGCAATGGAAGTGAATGAAAAAAGTAAAATCTTTTGAAATGTTTGTTTCTCCTCTCAATTCAGACATGCCTTACCTTGTTGATCTGATGATGTACTTTCAAGTTGGTCTAACAACATTTGGTGCCCGGACAAGAATGCATTCAGCTGGACACCAAAGGGAACAGCTGGCTGAATTGTTTGGGTATAGAGCATTTTCGGGAATTTTAACTTGTTCAACACACTTTACGAAAATATCTTTGATATTTATGCCTTGGGCTCTATAAATAGAGCTCAGCATCCTCTGTTTAAGGGTTGGAAATTTTACCCAAGGGATATACAACCATATTGGCCTCTCTCCCTCTCTCTCTCTCTTTCTCATTTTTCTACCTACCACCCTCAACTTACAACAACCAAACTCCATGGAAGCTTGATCCTAAGCTTTGGGCAGAGGTACTTGGACATCTTAGAACACCTCTAAAATGACTTGAGGGAACCAAGAGAGGGTTTGTAGAACAAAGGAACTCATCCTCTTTAAGAAGTGATATTTTCATGTTTTCCATCATCCATCTCTCCTATGCTCTTCATTTCTAGTCTTAGTTTCATTATGTAATTGTTGTAGACATGTAGCAAGACCTCATGAATGTGGAGGGAGTATAATTTAGCCATCCATCCATTAAGTTGATAGCTTTTTCCTTTTTGATGTCCTTAGTTGTAATCTCTTCTTGTTGCTTATTTTGGATCCTTGTGGATGTGTTTGGAAGTAGCAATTAGCCATCCATTCACAAGTTTAATATGTTAAATGTCATAACCCAAACTCGCCACTAAAAGTTTGGATCATAACCGGCTAGTAATCAGTTGATTACCTACGGCCTCTATGAAATTACAGAATAAATACCATAATGGGGTCATAAGCGAAAGCATATCACATGCAAAGAACTCCATTGAACTGTGACAATATGATCAAAATATACATTTTGCTTATATCATAGCACATCACACATATTTACATGTCCATGCAAAAGTTTATGTGCCAAAGATATAGTTTACATTACCCAAGACCATCATAACAAAGTTAACACAAAAATCATGTCAAAAAGTGAGTCAAAAGACAAAAAGACAAAGGCTCCATCTTGGAGACTTGACCAATCGGTTCACAAAATAACTCCTGGTGCAAAACTTACAGTTGGGCTCCATGCTACTGGTCACCTACATATACATACATATATACGGAGTGAGCGAAGCTCAATGAGTAATAATAAGGTAAAGAGGTTTGACTGAATGAGCATGATCATAAGTTATGCTCGGCTTCTTGCATTTTCAGTTGCATTTCGCTCCTGCCTTCGAGCGTTTATCTTTATTGTCTTGCATGTTTGTCTAAGTCTTCGGCCTTGTCAAAAATGGGTCGTCTCTGGGCTTTGGCACTCACTCCCATCATTCTTATGACTTTCGAGTTCTGTCAAAGAGGGGCAACTGTAGACACCCCATTTTTGACCGTCCTCAAGACTTGGACGTCACCGCTTGAACACTCGATGATCATCCGTGTTTGTGTTCGTCCTGAGTTCCCGGAGGTCTCGGCCACGCACGCCTTGCCTCAGGATCTCTCGACTCGACTGTTTTGTGTCTGGTTTTGCACCAAACACTTGTGCTTTTCCTGTGAGGGACAGAGGATGGCTTGTTGGCCATCCCCACACATCACCGGCCATGGCTTGAGGCCACCGGCCATTGGTTTGTTGCCACCGGCTAAATGTTTGGCCGACCGGCACTCTTTGTAGTCGACCGGCCATCTATTTTGGTCAAATTACATTTTTGGCTAGCCGACCACTATGCATCTGCTTTTGGCAGATATTTTGTGCCAGCTGTGATAGCTGGCACCCTCTTTGCTCCCCTCCATACACGTGTATGAAGGGATCTCCCTCTTGACTAGCTTACTTGAGAAGCTTTGCAAGAGTGAGCTTCTATAAAGAGGAGGCCTCTCCTCCCTCTTCTAGGGTTAGAGAAAGAAGCTCCAGAGGTCTGGTTCTTTTTAGGGTTAGAAGTGTGTCTATTCTCTCTCTATACTTTCCTCTCATTGTGTATAAGTGTGTGTTTGTTCATAGTTTTGCACATAAACACCTACCATTACACCTTCCCTTAATTGCTGAGGCTTTAGAGGGTTGATCTTGGACTTTTTGATGAAACCCTGCCCCAACCCCAACCACCAGCTCTTGCCACCCTTCACTGCCCATCCACAGCTCTGACTGTTTCCCTCCAGCCCCTCCCTAGCTCCAGCTGCCACCCCCAGCCCCACTCTAACCTCCCTCATCCCTCCCTAGCCTCCCCCAACCCCTACCCTACGTAGCCCCCCACTCTCTGGATACCCCTTCTTTCCCTCACCTTCACGATTTCTCACTCCCTCTCTCCCCATCACAATTCCTCTCCCTTGTTTCGCAAATCTCTCTCTCTTGGTTTGCTTTCGGTGGTTGGTGGGGAAGGTCTGGGGGTGTGGCTGGTGGGGCTGCTCGGAGTTGACAAGGTGCAAGGGAGGGTGCTCAGAACTGGTCTGAGCTGAGGGGCAGGGGAGGGTGATTGGAGTTGGTAGTGGTGGTAGGTGGTGGATGGGTGGGGGTAAGGTTAGGGATAGCTGGGGGTTAAATTTGGTATTTAGTGGGGTGTCCAAAGAACTTTAAATTTGGTGGGGGTCCAAAGAGATTATGTGGGTTTTATTAATAGTAGCACCCTTGGCTAACTTTAAAAGATGGGTAAAGTGCTCTGGGGTCAAACTGCAAGGGGTAAAGTGGATTTTGGCCCCTTTTTTTCTTGGTCTTCTGGTTGATTTTTCTTGGGATCAAAGGCACACTTTCAATTTTACTAGTCAAAAATAGAAATGCCATACACATTTTTGGTAGCCTCTCTACATTCCTAATGCTAACCTAAAGTTTGAAGCAAACTGGGCCACCCTGGGGGTTGCAAACTAGTAGTGGTTTTCAATGTTCAAATATGATTACGTACTGTAATCATATTAATGTAGATATATATATATATATATATATTGTGATTCTTTAGGAGATTAATGTAGGCTCTCCATTCCTTGATACATGAATTATTTTCGTTGTTTTCTTGTCACCTTTTCTATGTTTAATTGTTTTTATTTCAAACAATCAAATGTTAGCTTTGATTTACTCATTCTTTTATTTTATTTTATTTTAATTTTTTTTTTCTTTTCTGTCTTTCTTGTGTTCCTCCTGTCTTGATGTGGTTGAACTGATCTTTAGATCTTGGCTCTGTTACCGTAGGGACATACAAAGCCTATTCACGCTGTTTGCTGGGATCCTTCAGGAGAATATCTGGCTTCTGTTAGTGAGGACTCTGTTAGAGTTTGGACACTTGGAACTGGGAGTGAAGGGGATTGTGTTCACGAGTTGAGTTGCAATGGCCACAAATTCCATTCTTGTGTTTTCCATCCCACATATTCTTCATTGCTGGTCATTGGCTGTTACCAGGTAAATCGTGTGCACCTTTTTATATGCCTGCTTTACTGTCTTGATATTTCTTATTTGCTTATTAGTTGGTGGTACATGATGTCATGTTGGTTTGTGTTGATAGTTATTCAATTTATGCCACAATCTTACTGAACCCAATTTATACAGAAATTTTGAATGGTGCCAAAATCTGGTCCTTTCACTTTAAAACCAAAAAATTCATCAAGTTCATGTCCAATTTCAAGAATGTCACTGCCACATCATTAGGTTGGGATTTCTGTATAAAATATCTTCTCAGAATTTTACTGGCCATAACCTACATTTATTTCCCCATTTTTTTTTTTTTTAGAATTATTTTCCTACCCCAAGTTGGATTATATTCAAGTGGAACTCAAATTAAATTAAGACATCGGGCTTGTAAAATAGTTCCTTGAGAAAGTTTCTTTGCAATGTTAGTGAGGAATTCTGAAGTCATTTTTCTAATTTGTATATATGTATCAGTGTCAACTTTATTTTTGTCTATCTATTTGGATTTAAAGATACGAATGAAGTGAAAATATCACTGACATTGGTTTCTGTTTCTGATGCAACCCATTGGTGGCATTTGTGAAGAGTCTTGAGCTTTGGAACATGAGTGAGAACAAGACGATGACTCTTCAAGCGCATGATGGACTGATTGCCAGTTTGGCTGTATCAACTGTGACGGGGTTGGTTGCCTCAGCTAGCCATGACAAGATTGTTAAGCTCTGGAAGTGATGTTAGCTAAAATTTCGCTTTTGCTTTCCGGACTTGTTTTTTTGCAGTTTCTCATGAAAATATTAGTATGTGCCTATCTTGATAGAGCTACTTTCATTTTTGTGTTTTTTTAACTGTATTTTGTATCACTACACTCTCCAACTCCATATAACCCTATCACTAAGAAATTAATCCTCTAGTACTGTTGATGTTTCTTTGTCTGTTAAATGTGGAAGATCTGATCTTGCTGGACTGTTTCTGTAATATTGTGTACTGTGAAAATGACATTTTCAGTTACTGATTACTTTACGCAGCCCTGTATAATGGGCATGTTCTTGGTTAGTTCTTTTCTATTGAGGAATTGATCCTCTTTGACTAACCATCCCTTGCCATCCCCAGGGGATGATTTTCCGGGTTGCATAAAAGAAGAGGGAGGGGTACTTTGGTCACTTTACGTGCAACTTTAAAAGATGTAAAAAAAAAAAAAAGAAAAAAAAAAAGAAAAAAGAAAGTGCTACTATTACCACTTGCCTAAATTCTTTGAACTTCCTAATTTTTTATTTTTATGTTTTTACAATTATATTTTGAAGTAAAATTATATTGAAAGATATCATTTAATGGAACACCTATGTAACAATCTTGAACTGTGATTAGTCAGTAAATCATGATTAAGAATGTTTAATGAGTAATTAAGATGAAATTTTGAATTAATTGAATGTGTATTGTATTATTTGTGTTTACTGTTGTAGGAATATATATTTGTGTTTCTGTTTTGTATTGTGAATTGAAGGCCTTATCGGCATTTGATCACATTGACTTGGTTTTTGTATTATTTAAATTTTTTAGAATTTTATGATAGGTTTAATTGAAATTTGATTTGGAACGAATTAATTAAGAAAATTAGTGTCAGATTGATTAGCTTAACCAAGTTTAATCAAGCGTTCTTAATTAAGCCTATATAAGGCATATGGGACCTCTAGAATACACTTTGCATTCTCATTTACATCATTCTTGAGCTTCAAACGTGAGAGAGAAAGAGAGACCAAGGAAATTGAGATCAACAAGAGAATAGCTAGAATTTGGAAGGATTGGACTTGGAATCTTGGTGAATTTATCACCTAGAGCTTACTTGAGAAGTTGAGGTAAGGATTCAACACTTAGATTACATAATTATGATATTTATGACTTGAATTCTAGGGGATTAAGTTGAGTTATGCAAGAATTGAGCTAATGAGTTAGTAAGGAAGATCACATCATGCATGCATGTTCATTTCAACACAATTTGAGCTTGATTTCAAAGAATTCTCACATGCATGTATTCCTCTTGCCTTTCTTTTAAGAATTCAACTTGTTTTTGTGCTTAACATCTCATTTGAACAAGTTTTGAAAGCTTTGAAGTCCAGATACTTCATACATGTTATGTTTATGATATACCAAGTTTGATTTTACACAATTTTCAAGCTTTTGGGCCTTGATTTGGCGAAATGGTTTTGAATTCATGATGTTTGACAAGTTTAGACATGTTTTCTCAAGCTTTTGGCCCCAAAGAACATAATTTGTGGTTTTGAATTCGAGTTTTGAGCTTGGGAGCAAATCTGGAAATTTCAAAATTCTGCTCCTCTGCTCGAGTAACAAATCTTTTGCTCGAGCGACCACCCTTTGCTTTGCACTTCCGCTCGAGCGACCAAAAGTTGGCTCGAGCGTAAAATGCATGTTTCCAAAAGTTTGCACATTTTGTAGACCGCTCGAGCCACCAGAGTTGTGCTCGAGCGAGGATCTTAGTCTTATGCTTGAGCGACTGTCGAGCCTGTGTGGAAAAATCAAGCAGCCAATACTGTTGCAGAGTTTACAGACCGCTCGAGCGACGGAAGTTCAGCTCGAGTGACCACTCTTATTTTTGACTCGTAGCAAGAACCTTGTGTTCAGCAAATTTGACTAAGTGTTTTGACCTACATTTTGTCATCCTCATTGCATCTTAGACATTCTTAAGCCCTAATTAAGACATAATAATGATGATAAGACTTAGAAATACACTAAGAACGAAACACAATAAGTTAAGTACTATCCGAGTATGTGTTTCAATATGTGTGTCTGTTATGTTTGTGTAGGTCACGCACCGCAAGTTATCTGATTTGTCTACTTTGGAGCATCTGTGAGTAATAACTTAGTAAAGCTATGTTCAACTTTATTTATTTTCTGTATGATGAAAGAAGACCTGTTTTCTAAAATGCTATGTTCTGTACAATGAATGATTGTCCAATTTCTGATATGTATTCGTTGCATCCTTTGCATCATGTTATGGAACTTAATATGTCTGCAATCTATTGCCCGTACCGGAGGCTCCATCATGGAGCTCGGCATATCTATTATCTGATACTCGGATCCGGAGGTTCTTTTATGGAACTGGTTACTCATAACCACCATCTGTTTTGCATTTGTTCTGTATCTATTCTATTAGCGCTAATAGATGTACCACGTACGATTAAGCATGAACTCTGATTTCTGTATGAGAATATGAATCTATTGTTGATATGGAATGTGTTTTTTGAATCTAATATGGGACATCATTTAATGAAAACCCTTTACTCTGTTATTATTCACTAGGCTTCCGCTCACTCTATTACTTATGTATATAGGTGATCAGGCGTGTGGCCAGGCTTAATGATGATCACCTGAAGCTTTGTTTTGTCGATCAACCCTTGTATCTCTCGAGGAGGTTTCGAAAGTCATGTGGTCATGTTTTGTGAACGTATAAGTCTTTGTTTTCTTTTTGGATTATGAACAAGTTTTCTGTTTATCTACATATTGGGCTAAGTCAACTTTTGGTTATATCTGTAATGAATGTGACGTAAGACTATTGTAATTATGATGTTACGTGTAAAGTTTTGAAATTTCTATTCCATGTATGTCAACACAGCTCAATGGACTATGTATGTTTTATATAACTGCTTCTGCAACCCTTTATTATGCTAATCTATTTAGAGGCCTTCGGTAATCCAATGATTACTGGTCGGTTACGACGCTAAACCTATAGGGGCAGGTTTGGGTGGTAACAACCTACCTACTAAATAAGTACTAACATTATACAATATTGTACACTCATTCTCATCTCCACCTCCAGCTATACATATTCTATCTTTCTAACCTTAAACTTCCTAAACTTGTTACTCTTCATAACCAACCAACATAAACCCTAAACCTGTTACTCTTCATAATCATCTTAAACCCTGAATGTATCCTCTTCATCACCATCATAAACCCTCGTGAACTAGAAATCTTGAATCAGAAAGCTCTTTTCAAGTCAAATGTATTACTTTTCATAAGTTATTTCACTTTGTAAAGCAATAGAGAACAATGATAACAAATCTGATAAGGCTAGCGTTCCATTGGTAAGTTTATCTGTCTTACATGAATATTCTCGGTCTTTTCGATCATTATTGTTTTGTTCGAGCTGTTCGGCACTGGTTTGCCGACTGTTAAGATTATGTTCTGTAACACAGTACTAAACACAAACATTTAGTTCAATATATGGGTTCCGAACAGTAATGTAGATAGTTGGTACTGTTGAACCGAACATGACCTTTATGTTCAGCGTTGGTGTGCTTTCAATTTTTGTATCTTCAATACTAGATTATGTTTTTCGTGAGAGTTTTTTTCTCTAAAATCCCTTTTTATGCTGAAATAAACCAAAAAACAAAAATGTGATAGGAAGAAGAGAAGCAATTTCGTTGATAAGATAGGGAGTCCATATTTACCCAAGAGGAATTTCTGATGAGTTTTCTACAATCGTGGACAAGAATTTTCGATGAGTTTTTTGACGGTATTCTTTTGACACTGCTGAGTCGATTCTTCCTTCATTAAGAGTTGACAAGAAATTCAATGATGGACCGTTGATGCAATGCTCTTCACTGAGGCAATGGTGTTATCGTTGACGTTCTTTTTAATAGGAGATAGACGGTCATCAAAAGGAGATAGGGTGTGCAAAATTAGGTGGGTGTGCCTTGAGTGTGAAAATATTATGAATATGGATAAATTTGATATTAAAGTGGAGTGTTAAATAAACTTATTGAAATTTAGCAATCCTAAAAAAAAAGGATAATTCTATTTACACACCACCATTTAACCATTAAATTTATATAATAATAATATCCTCAAGTAAAATGATTATTAAGGACAATGTGAGTGTGTATATACTCATTTCAACAATTCACATATGAAAATACAAATATTTTTGTACACACTAACACCTTGAACAAATCTTTTTCTATTATTTTTCAAACTCAAAATGTTATTATTTTGGAACATTTAGGGTTTTAAAACATTGAAATCAATTGATTTTAAAGATTTATATACTATGGATGACACTGATTTGAAACAAAATAACAATAACGTCAGTTTACTTTGTTATTTATCTTGTTTGTATTGATTTTGCCGTTGTTCATTTTTACAACAATGACTTATTTGTTCCATATGAACGCAGAGTTAAACATTTACAAAATGTTCAATTATTTATTGTGGGAGCCAAAAAAAAAAAATATTAGTTTATTGGGCTAACCCAAATAAGGCTTGCCAAGAGGCCAACTGCTGGGCTTATTCGGCCCACTCCCATCTATAAAAGGAAGACATCTCATGAAGTGTAGAGAAGATCACTCTGGCCCACACAACACACAAACACTTCATTTCCTTCATGTTCTTTCATTGGATCAGTGACTAACTTTATCATAGGAGTGTCTCTGGTAGGCAACCCTAGTTGGGTGGTGCTAACTATGTTCATCTTTGCAGATATACAGGGGCAAAACTCATTTCTTTGTTGGATCTCTATAATCCATGTGAGAGGATTTTCATGGTCTCACATTTATATTTGAACAAAATCATTTTGTTCATATTATTAAAGTTGAACAAGTATTAAACGTTTAAACATAAAAACTTTGAACATTTTGATTTAGTTCAAATATAAATTTGTGAACATATTACATTTTTTCAACACTGTATTTACGAACAATACTAAAATTATTTTTTTGTTTAAATTTTTACATAATACCCACACTGATTACTTTGTCGCTGTAAAATTTCAGTCCACCATATGGTTCTCATTGTTTGGTCTCACATTATTTCCATAGATTCAACACAGATCGGGGGGAGAGAGAGACACATGAATTTAAAATTATCGTGAATTGTATTTTGGACCTTATTGTCTTTTCAACTTTGATGGTATGTACATCATCTTGTGTTAAGGTCTGTATTGTGTTGTGTGGGTTAGGCTG